CACATGTTATCAGAACTACATACTAGTTGATCCTCTAAAATATAGGGCTTAGGCCAAAAATTTTAGTTTGCTAAATTATTGAGCATATGGGTACTCTACAGTTTTTTTAATGTGCCTTGTTTACAAGAAATTTTTTTTTACCCATGAATATTTATCCTATGGTAATATTTCAATTATAAAGTTTAATGGTTTATCAACATTTTGCTTTATAGTTTATGTTGTGTACACATAAATGGTAATTGTCATGTATGTAATAGCCCTCTTATCATGAAGCTTCTTACAGTTATATTTTAATTTTGAGATATAAAGATTAACACTTTGGCTTAGAAGTATATAGTATCCATAAAGTATGAATGCCTTGCGTTTAAAAGCTGAAAGACCTCGGTTTAGAGGAATAAAAGCTTCTTTTGGAAGTGTAAAATGGAAATAAAAATTCGCTGTAGGTCTTGGTCAAGACCATACAGATGGACTGAATGTGGAATTAGCATGTTATACTCATTTAAATTTTTGGATCAATTATACTGAAATTCCACACTACACTTTATCACATATAGGAATCCATGTTGGTGAGATATTAGTGTTTGTAATTGTGGAAGGTCTTATGTTGTTCAATAGCATAATTACCGCTACAGTTCGATATTAATATTTTTCATTGAACGGGATTCTGTGCTGAGATGTTCTATTCTGAATCATGTTTATGTGGCCACTAAAGTTGTTTAACCCGAGAGTCATTTTTTCTTAAATAAAATATTCTCTTATAGTAGTAGTCAATGTTGCCTAAGTGGGAAAATGTAAGAATTTATTCTTAATTAGGCTGTCATTGACTATATTTTGTTTGGTTTGTGAAAAATGGGTTGAACGTGATTCAGATAGATTGACTGGTATGAGCCCAAAATTATTATTGTGATCCATAAAGTTTGGGCCATGGTCATCTTAGTGTATATATTGTTTTATATGTGGATATGTGATATGGAGGTGTAAGGCCTGTTTTAAGTTATTTGGGTTCCTTAATGAGAGGACCCAGTAATTATTTTATTTAAGCCCAGTCCCCTTTCCTATCCCTATGTGGATATGTGATATGGAGGTGTAAGGCTGTTTTAAGTTATTCGGATTCCTTAATGAGAGGGCCTAGTAATTGTTTTATTTAAGCCCAGTCCCTTTTCCTATCCTTATTAGGGTTTACATATATCTATATATATGTAGATCAAGGGGTTGTCAGCCCCATTGAAAAGACAACAAAAAGATTAGGAGAAGGAGGGGAAGAGCTGGTACTAAGGTTTTTTAATTGTGAATGCCAAGTTCTTTCAAGGAAGCAAAACTCAAGACAATAACGGAACAAACGGTATGTATCTGAGTTTATATTTAGTAGTTACTTATATTCATAGTGTTTGGATTTCTAGTATATAGATCCTATAATCTTACATGAAGAGCTTCAAAAAGATTTGATTCAATAACTCTTTGACGAAGTTAGACAACCTCTCCCTCAGAGGTTCGAAACCATGGACAACAATAATCTGAAAACAGTGCTCAAAGAGTTCCTCCGAGAAAGCAGGTACATGATCGTCCTTGATGATGTTTGGAGCATAGATGCATGGGATGCGATCAAAATTACATTGCCAAACCGCAACTGTGGCAGCCGTGTGCTACTCACAACACGTATCGGTAAGGTGGCTTCTACTTCTTGTAATGAATTCCATGGTTACATCTATGAAATGAAAGCTTTGTCTCCAAAAGAGTCTTGGACTCTGTTTTGTAAGAAGACATTTCAGGAGAAGGATTGTCCTCCACATTTAATTGAAATTTCAAAACGTATCCTGAGAAGATGTGAGGGCTTGCCACTTGTGATTGTGGTGATTTCTGGGGTGTTGGTTTCAAAGGACCAGGGAAGAGTAGATGAATGGGAGTTGGTGAATCGCAGTCTTGGTAGTGAAGTTGAAGGCAGTGATATGAAGAGAATATTGTTGCCAAGTTACAATGATTTGCCTTACTATCTCAAGTCTTGTCTCTTGTACTTGAGTAGTTTCCCAGAGGATCATTTGATCGATTGGATGAGCACGATTCGATTGTGGATCACAGAAGGATTTGTGGAAGTTAAGGAATTTGGAAAGACACTAGAGGAAGTTGCAGAGGCTTACCTCTATGAGCTCCTTAATAGAAGCTTGATTCATGTAGCAGGACGCAAGTTTGAAACGATTAAAAGTTGTCGTATACATGACTTTTTGCGTGAAATTATTCTTTCAAAGTCAAGAGATCATAACTTTCTAATGATAGCAAGAGAAGGAAGCATGAGGTGTCCTGAAAAAGCTCGACGACTATCAATTCATAATACCTTACCAGGCATACCATAACAAGGTAAGTGTTTCTCTCAACTACGTTCTTTGCTTATGTTTGGGGTAGATGAACCCATTTCTGAGTCCTCCATGCCTCTATTGTTCAATGGTGGGTTGAGGTTGTTAAAAGTTCTACACTTGAGAAATGCTTCTTTGGAGAGATTTCTAGGCCATGTGGTCAAGTTGTTCCATCTAAAGTATATAAGCTTGAGAGGAACAAATGTGAAAGTGCTTTCAAAGTCGATTGGATTGCTTTGGAACCTAGAGACATTAGATCTTAAAGACACGTATGTGGAGGAGTTACCCGTTGAAATTCTAAGGCTTCAAAAGTCGCGCCATCTTTTGTTATATCGTACTGAAACTGGGCAAATTTATTTTCCGTTTCACTTGAGATATGGCTTTGAAGTACCATCTAAGATAGGAGGCTTGCAATCCCTACAAAAGTTATGCTTCTTAGAGGCAAACCATGCCAACGGTAGCACCCTAGTGAAAGAGATAGAAGACTGACCCAGTTAAGGAGGTTAGGAATTTTGAAGTTGAGAAGAGAAGATGGGGTGGGTTTGTGCTCATCCATTGAGAAGCTAAGCAACCTTTGCTCATTAGATGTAACTTCAATAGAAGATGATGAGATCCATGATCTACAATCTCTATCTCCAGCTCCTCAATTTCTTCAACGACTATACTTGACAGGGCGTTTAGAGAAGTTACTGCAGTGGACAACTTCTCTTCATGGCCTCACGCGCTTATCTTTGCGTGGAGCAAGTTAAGGGATGATCCACTGAAATCCTTCAAGATTTGCCCAATCTAGTTTTTCTCTCACTTGTTAATGAAGCACATCAAGGGGAGGGATTGTGTTTCAAGGCTGGTAGATTTCAAAGACTCAAGCATTTATCCCTTGAAAGATTAAAAGGATTGAGATGGTTGACAATGGAGGAAGGTGCGATGTCTCGACTTGAAAATATATTCATCTTTAATTGTGCATTGTTGGAGTTGCCGTCAAGCATTGAACATCTAACAAATCTTAAATATCTTGAACTGGATGACATGTCTGATGAATTAATTTCAAAGTTGAATCCAGGCGTACAAGATGGGGATTATTGGAAAATACAACACATCTCAAAAGTACTGATTGCTGACTCAAAAAATGGTCATTGGAAAGGAAGATGTCTCTAACGAGAGAAATGAAATGTTTTTTTTTTTTTTAATGTTTAATTTACTAGATTGGATCATTATCACGTTTAGTGCCATTTCTTTTTCTTTTTCATGTTCATGTTCTTGTTGTTTTATTTATTTATTGAATTTCTGACAGTGATTTAGAATTTTCATTTTGTATCTTTGATTTATTTATTTATATTTTGACGGCTTGCAAATCTAATATGTGGTTCCTTAATTGATCTCTAAAGAATTATAGAAGCTTTATTAAATTCAAATTTAGAATTACAATCGTTTATTTTGCAATTATAATGATTTTAATTTATATTTGCACAAGTCAAACAGATCTCAAACGTAATGTAATTTTTATTAGTTTTGTGATTTTTATGAATTTTTTTGTTTAAGCGTTTTTAAGAGGCTAAATTCAAATTTTGTGTTGTATTCATGGACTTTTGAGTGGATTTGTATGTGCTTGCCACAATGACTATATTAACAAATTTAGGCTATGTTTGTTTTGGCTGAAGACAAAATTGAGATAATAAAAGTACATTAATACCTAAAAATAATTAAATAATTACACACTTTTAAACATTTATTAAGATGCCCTTAGAGCATTTTTTTAGTGTCATTTTTTTATAAAAAAAATTACAAAAAAAATAAAAATAAATTAATAAATAGAGTTTTGACCCATCTAAAAAAAATTATTTTTGTTTGGTTATTCTTACGAAAATCAATAGGGACACAAGTATTTTCATTCATTTACTATTTTTTTTTTCTCTATTAAATTTAAAATTCAAACATAATATAAATGAAATGAAATTACTAAATTGCTTTTGCACCAACAAGAGTTGGCAAGCCTACCTTTGTTTTGCACCAGCTGAAGCTGCCTAAGCAATAGGGGCACAAAATCGAAGAACATAAATAAATAAATAATAGGAGGAAAAAATAAATAAATAAAAAATACCTGCTCAACTAAACTCAATAAGTTTGTCTCATTTAGTTAAAAGAGGACACGATTTTATCATTTCCTGAGAACATGATCTCTACAAGTCCATCAGATGCACCGCCACCAACCCTTAATACTAAAAAAAAATTGTACACAGTTTTTAAGATTTTTAGATTGCAAGTTTTTCATCGTCAAGTCAATGAAAACTCAACAATGCAATGATTAAGAAAGGCCCTAGATTCCACAATATAAAAAAAATAAAAAATAAATAAATAAAACCTCAATTCCATCCAAAACTATGTTTACAGGAACTCTCAAGTTAAAATGCAATTATATCTCGAATGATAGATTTGAATATTACAACATATATATTCCCCACACAAATAAAGGCACAATTACATGAACTCATTTCAAATTTGTAAGTGTTTCTGATACCACAATATAGATTGTCTTCACTCTATATACTAATCATAGGATCCACCTTCACTGTTCCACGAGCATCGTGGATGGGTCTAGAGCTCTCAGTTCTTTTACTAACGGCATGGCTCAGCAAGTGAAGCAGTTGGCTTGATCGGTAGAAATTTAGTTTGATTTGTATTTGGCTGCTTGTGCTCTCTTGCCATTTTGCAAACAGCCTAAGGTGACAAAGACCGCTTTATTGCTTTTCATTTTCTGATCCATGGGAAGAAAGAACTTTGGCATGAAAACGATTATAGATACTTAAATCATAGAGCACTTGCACACTGGATTAATAATATCAATTACCAAGCATCTCAGACAAACTCTCTAGTCAATCACTAATTATCAATTTTTTTTAATTATTACGTCAGCTTATTGTGTCCCTTAGATAGTTGATTCTATCAGGAAGTGCACACCGGTTTAGTAAGGGACAACAATGGATTCTACAAGCTCTTGAAGTGGAGCTAGCTCCTTCTTGTCAATCAGTCCAAATTCCTGCATAAAAACAGTATAGTGAAATTTCCAAACAGTATTAGGATATGATAGTTACAAACATCATCATATACAGGTAGCAAAACTGCACAACCAGTTTCTAAATTGAAACTCAAACCAGTTTGGACACGACACGTGTGCGGACATACAGAAATATAGATTAATTATTTTATTATAGTCTATATATATGAATGATGTCAGTTCAAATATAAAAATGCAATATGACACTTAATCCTATAATTTATATGATTTTTGTTTTTGTTATGTATCTAGTTGTTTTGTTTAACTTATAATTAGTTTACATGTGTCTATCAATAGCACGGTGTTTGAATGATTCACTGTCGTGTCTCCAAGTGTTCAAAAAGTATCGGATCTTTAAAAAATTAAAAATAGACAGTTTGAGAGTTGTCAGCACCGTGTCCTAAGGTGTCCAAGGTCGGTGTCAATACGGACACGAAACGGAATGTACATCTTTGTAGGAAGTGCTCGTGCTTCTTTGGGTTATTCAACTTTATAGAATTCAGATGTCAGATCCAAAAATTGAGTGTTCTATTCAATTAATCGTTGACGGTTCTATGGAACAAGGCACCTAACAATCTTTATGTATTCAATTGTGACTTTCAGTTACGTTTGATTTGTTTATATTGGTTCATTTTATTGTTACTTGATTTTTATTTTACACACCAAAAACAACTCCACCTTATAACCCTATGAGAAAGTTGTAGCCTTGTTTATACCATTAAATGTCATTAAACTTGCAATGATTTTTTAAGCAATCAATGAGTGGAACTCGAATGCTGGCCTTCAAGTGGATTGTGCTCATAGGTATTATTGGCTGTTTGCTCTATGCCACATACTTGACTTAACAAATGTCCAAGTCAAGTACTTAGGGGTTATATGCAGATCTGTCTCCATCAGTCTATGCCACGCTCCACAATATGATTACTGCAATAGTCAACATGGCAGTGAATATAACAAATAATGACCAAGTTTCTATTATGCATAAGTTACTGTTTTGCTATGATTTTTTTGTCCTTTTGCAAGATATTCTTGTGGGTGTATACATTTTTAAAATATTTATAGTACTAATTGCTATTGATCAATTTTGTATGTTTATTGCCACGCATGAGAGAGTGGATTAATTTTTATATTTATAGATTTATATTATTTCTAATAAATTCTAAGATAGTGTATTTGAATTTGCACTAATGGGTCTTGTATTTTTAGCGATCATTTTTTGAGAGCTTATTTTTTTTGAGAATGAAGTCTTTTGTTCGTGTCATGCTATTCTTTGGGGTAAAATTCTGCAGTGTGGTCTAGTAGTGTTTATTGTATCTTAGTAATCTGTTCATGCTTCTTATTACAGGCAACAGAAAACTCATATAGATCAGATTGTTGAATGACGTTCAATGGAGATTACAAACCAGTCTAGTTAGTTTGAGTTCCTGACTGCGATTGTAGATAAAACTTAATAGGTCGAAGATCAGTGGGTGCGAGTACAAATCAAGAAACGATTGACGTTTCAGCTCCAAAATATGTTAATATTTGATGACTGGAGAATCGATCAATTAATGTGATGGAATCATATTTCCTAAAGGCTTGTATAAATGTTTGATTTGTTCCTATTTTTATTAATTTTTTTATAAAAGCAAAGACGTGTCTCTGAAGAACTCTTGAGTTTAATTTTTGTATTCTATTGATTGCTTTGTTGGCCGTTGGTTTTTTTGTTCCTTCTTAGTTATTTTTTTCTTTCTAAAATTTTTAGTGCCCCTTTCTCCCAACTTCAGAGAAGTGTAAAAACTATTATTCAAGCCGTCTCGCTGTTTTGCTCATATTAATCCTCTCATTTCCGAATTGTAAGTACTAACAGAGAGGCCATCTAAATACCTGCTTCAACATTTATATTGTTGTACCTTGCTGTAGTATGCTTCCAAGTCTTGAGACTATTTTATCGTGCTTGTTCGAAATACTTGCTTCAAGTATTTCATATTGTACTGTGCATAGCTTCAAGTCTTGGGACTATTTATGTTCTTGATCCTTCCAAAATGG